CACACACACACACACACACACACACACACACACACACAATGCATACACACAAACACTTATACATACACTCACCCCTCCCCCTTCCTTTTAAATCCCGAAACACCCACAGTGCGTTGCCAACCTTCAAATTTACTCATTTGTGTTCAGTAGAACGCTAAACTGACACCGAAAAAAACCCCCGGAATTTCTGACTTGAATAGTTTTTAATTTATACCCAGTGTGTTGTTGAACTGATACAAAGTAACGGGCTGTCTGACTTACATGGATCTAAAATAAGAAAGGGTGTTTGAAGTGCTTGGCTCAAACTCTACTGAACAACTAGGCCTTCGTTCATAAAGAAATTCAAACTTGGAGGGGTAAAAGAACATTTCGACCACTCATTCTTAAAATAGACTAAAAGCGTCTTTGGTGCTTGTTGCCACAGCAACGCACATATTGTGTGCGTACTAGGCCAAATAAGATCCGAATGGAAGGCTGAAGTTTACCTTTGCACTCAGGAGCACGGTACATACAATATCGATTTTTACTTTTGAGGGACTATTTCTTTATGCCAACGATATGTTTGTTTCTTTTTAAAGTTAGTCTGAGAAGATGGGTTATCGAAAGAACGTCCATGATCCTTCCATGCAAAGTGGATTTCAAACATTAAATAAAAGACCGTTACATATGCCCAAATTACGCTGATTTTTCTTGAGCACATTCTTTATCATTACAAATTATTTGTACAACCCTATTTGAAGGTATTGGACACACTTTCAGTTTTATGTATCTTTGATTGGTAATCGAAGGCAGAAGCTATTTTATTCCCGGTGATATGAATCTTTATCCAGTTTGGAAGAGCGCCCATCTATCTAACTAAGCTTATACACCATATCGCCAGCAAGCTGTTTAGCTGTACTGAGCCCAGAAAGCAGCACCATTTTTCAGGAGAGGAAAAAAAATTATGTTTCACTCTTTTAGCAACTGTACCTACGTGCCACATCATGTATTTTTGTTCTTGCTTTCTTTTCAACGTTTAGAAATTGAATTTCGACAAAATATTTTCAGAGCACATGCAACCGATACCACAAATTTAAAAAACAGCAACTGTGGTTTAAAATCTAACTTTTGAGCTTAATACATCTGAACAGCTAGCCGACATTATATGCGTTGCGGTGAACAGAGTCTTACATTCACCTTTTCAAAGTTATTTATTGTTCAAGAGTTATTAAATTGTCGTCCAAGAATGGCTATCTGGCATGTCCATTCTTGTGTATTTTGTTTTGTTTTGTTTTGTTTTTCCAAGTCACCTGCTCTGTATTTGTATCTCCAAGGTTTTCTTTTAGGCAAAGTTTGACAAAGAAACACACAAGTTGTATCTGTAGGAGATAAACGACATGTACGGTTTACTGATCGAATAACATTTTTAGAATGTTTGCTGTCACGTGATATAGATCGAGCAGAGAACGCAGCCTTAAAAGTCTCTCTCCCTCTCTCTCTCTCTCTCTCTCTCTCTCTCTCTCTCTCTCTCTCTCTCTCTC